AGAACTTATTCCAGAAACTGTGTGACGCCCAACCTCAGACATCAACTATCAATGTGTCTTACATGCAGAGCTCTAAAATCACTCTAATTACAATTAAAGAGAGTATACTGTAATTAAAAACGGTGTTTGCTCTTAAAAGACACAAATCAGTTTCATGTCAAAAACAGTCTACATGGTGACATTTCCTTCTTCACACTATCAGCTCTCACACAACAAGTTTTAATGGTCTTTATTTTCTTCTTTACAATTCATTAAGTGCCAACGGGACCTGAGTGTATGCTGTGAACTGCTTCTTTATTATTACACACAGTGTCTCAGCAGCCAGTTAGTGCTCTTCTCATGAGAGAAAACAGGTCCCACAATGATGTCAGTGCAGCCGCTATGTGGTGTTGTGCAGCACAATGCACTGACAAGCGGCATTCACATCACCTTTACAGACGCAAGACTTTTTCACTTTGAATTTCTAAAAAACTATATGTGTGTGAAGATGTGTGTCCATTGAGAAGAGCGTGAGTGACAGAGAGGTTCATCCCTAGTGCCTGCCTTTCTATGCACTGCTGTGGGCAGGGCCATCTCCACTGACAGTGGATGGGATGTGGCAGGGGCCCAGGGATTAAGGGGCTTTTCGCCAGGACTGAGAGTGGCTCTTTCTCCCTGTGACAGAGAGAGGTGACAGGCCGTCAGCACACATGGGACAGGCAGACAGCCCAGCCAGAGACATCTGCATTCATTCAGGACAGCGGCTTATCCGTGCACAAAAAAACCACACTCCCCTAGGAAATAACCTAACAGATGCCTGTCGGGTGTTCAGAAGAGAAAGGGGACAGAACAATGATGACACGCATATACGTTTGGTTTGTAATCTGGACATAGTTCGTTTAAAATAATATAAAAAGGTCAAGGGCAGAGATACAGCGAGTCCACTGGCCGAAAACCCACGTAAACTGGCCACAGCTCGGCTTTTGACGGCAGTGGGAATGTAACTACAACCGAATGGCTCGACGGTCACAGTACTGAATATCCGAATGTCAGAGTAACATTACAGTCATGAACTGGTTCTAACCGGAAAGGTAGGATACCAATTCGCGATTTAAGGGAGTTACATCGCGAATTGGAACAGAAATATGGCTGCCGAGACAGAGCTCACGATGAGTCTGCGCCTATGGCTGTTGAGAGAAGTGCGTCACACTGCTGGGTTAGCATCGCGCTGTGTCTGCTGGCGTGCGCGTCTGGAGGTGAGTCTGCTCGAGCCTTCTACTCAGGAACATACGGAGGTTAATACATGAACAACGTTTCATTTATATCGCTTATGTTCATAACGTAACACTTTGATCTTAGTGGATCATGGGTTCTACTTTTTCACTCGGTTTAAGACATTGAACATTCTGATCGGAGGCGCAGCTGCCAGATACGGAACCTGGAAGAAACGCCACCGTGGCAAACGCACAAGAAAATGGCGGCGCGGCTACAGCTCTACGCCGTCAGATACTAAAACTACTCGGTGACGTAACACAAAGTCCACTTCACCGTTTCCTCTGGGTCTCGGTCGGGATGTCCGGTGTTAAAACGACGTGGAGAGTAAGAGAGTCCACGGTGTTTTACACGGATTAGCCGGTTTAAACATGTGAAAAGGAGTTAGTGGGCTAAACGGAGCCGTGTCATGGAGAACATAATGAAACATAACAGTCACTGATCGGTAGCAGTTAAGACTCTTAATACAGCGTTTATTATGAGGAACTGTTACAGTGACATGAAGGGAAAATCAAACGACGAGGAAGATTAAGAAACGTAGAAATAAATCAACTTGTTAATTCTGCTTATGTTGTTATATTACAGTTTTATGCTGGTTTACTGTTTACTTGCCCCTTGCATGGGGATATGTACATGCACATTGAGAGCTGATGTACCAGTCAAAGTCCTCATGTGTCTGACGCACCTGGCCAATAAAGCTGATTCTGATTCTGGACTGGACTTGGTTTTAGGTCGACCACGTTTCACCTCTCATCCAAGAGGCGTCATCAGTTCTGTCGGACTGGTGTTGATATCTGAATATCTCGGACTCAACGCCAGTCGGACAGAACTGAAAATTTGTCATTATTCTCAACATTTCTACTTTTATTATCGACGCGCTTTATTAAAAAGAAATCTTCCTCCTCGTCATATTTTCCTTGACGTGGCCCTAAAACTCAGTTCATTCTCACAGGCAAACAGACTCTGGTGCTAACGTCCAGCAGCAATTGTGTAGCAGGTTTATGGACATCAGTCCCATTTATGTAGATTAGTAAGGGTCACTGTGTTACACATGTGGAGTTACACCTGGACCCTTTAACCTCTGCTCTCTGTCTGCTCTTCTCAGCTTTAGACCAGAGAAACATCCCAGCTAAACCTGGAGACAACATCACTCTGTCATGTCGAGCTCCCAGCAGCACCAACATCATAGTTGTAGAGTGGAGCAGAACTGACCTGGAACCACAATATGTCTTTATGTACCGGGACGGGCGACCTGTTCTAGAGAGCCAGCATGAGTCTTTTAAGGACCGGGTGGAGCTGGAGGACAGTGAGATGAAGGACGGAGACGTGTCTTTGGTTCTGAGGAATGTGACGATTAATGACAGTGGAACATACGAGTGTCGTGTCGTCCTGGGAAAAACAACGCGCAGGAAGAGATCATATCTAAACAATGAGCCCATCAGCACCATCTACCTGGATGTTAAACTAGGTGAGTGTGTGTGTGTGTGTGTGTGAGTGTGTGTGTGTGTGTGTGTGTGTGTAGCAGCAGCTTCCTGGTTGTCCATGTGACAGTGAACCATCCCAGACAGATGTTGGTGTTTTCTCCAGATGTTGTTGATGAGGCCTTGTAGAAAGCAGCTGGGCTGAGTGATGTGGTCCCAGTGCAGGAGATCATGTCTGACAGGAGCTGGTTCTGGTCTTGGGTCCTCACCTACCTGACAGCTGATACTCACACCTGCTGCTCCTCTACAGGTTCCACTGGAGGACGCACCGGGGAGGGAGGAGCCAAGGAGGGAGGAGATGAGGAGGGAGGAGCCAAGGAGGGAGGAGACGAGGATGGAGGGAACACTGATAGAAACCATGGACTGGCAGTTGGTCTGCCAGTTGTTGCTGTGGTTCTTCTTGGTGTTGTTGGATTTCTGATCTACAAATGCTGCCTTCCTAAATGAGAAGTGGATTGTAAATATATGTAAATATGAGCTTATTTTAATTGCTCCTCATTAAATTAATGTAAAAAATATTTATAAAATGGAAATGAGTGTTGT